ATTTAGCCAGCTCGGAGAAAAGAGCAACCTTCTCATCATGGGCTCAGTTGTTGTCCTGGACTCAAACCGTCTAGTACGTCCTAGATTACACGTAATGAAGCTAACTGCGTATCGACAGATAGGTTGTGGTTCTGTGACTTATGTTCAGATAGTCCAATAATGAAGCTCGTCCAAACACTTACGATAAGATGTGAGATGTTGGCTGTTACGTCGGCAGAGCAAAAGGAACTGATGGTGATTTTGGGACGGAAAATCACAAAATCCAGTTGCAAATTAATGTATTACGCAGCACGATTCCTAGACCAGTGAAAAGGCGAAAGCTCTCTAGCGACAATGTTACACAGTCCAGCGAAAGGCAAACAGCGTTAGTGTAAAACAGCAGTGAAAACAGCTCGGTTGAACGGTCTTCCAAGTCTCACATAATGCTACAAAGCATGCATAGTTACGCACCAATTGCAAGACCACCTCCGTCACTAGCTGGGCAATAACAATTGACTCTTGTAGATAGTACAACTAACGGCGTAAAACTAACGGCACGTAAAAAATACTTGCTGTAGCCTTGGCATGTCGTCCACGGAAGACAAGCCAGACACCCACTCGACAAACCTACGCTCACAAGGAACTGTAGAACAAACAATTAATACGCAACCAAGAGGCGAGGAGGGTGATATGTTCAAAAGTCCTGGAACCCACTTGCAAATCGTTAAAAGGTTGACAAACCGAGGAGCAAAACCGCAGGCCGAAAGAACCCGCACATTCGGACTTACAGTTCTGCCAACTACTCTTACACGTCTTTCACGAAATCCATTATCTCCACACGCACGGTAACCACCGTTACTGCGAGTAAGGTTTGACAACCCACGCGAACTGGAAGATGTTCTCTTAGCAAACCACATGCTAGTGAACTCTTCTGTCAGTGCCCACATTTTTCTTGACATGCCATGGGCAGAAAGGCAGAAGCGGAAATCCAACCATAGTTAGTCACGTCAAGATGAGATGAATAAAGTGGTACTGGTTCATGCTGTGGCAGACTTGAAGCATGACGATAGCAGTGAAGGACAAAAGCACGACATCGAAGAATGGAGGTGCACCACAAAGCTCTTCGACATGTAAAATGTCGTGGCTTTTGACGTCATATGTCTAATTGCCTCCACAAACTACCAAGGCATCGGACCACGAATTTTGAAAGTTATCTTGGCTGTGCCCAAAAAGGTATCAGTAGCGATCCAAATATGGCATGACAACAGGAAAATTGGACCACCAGCAGTACGGTTAAGACCATTACTTCACTCAGTACAGGCCTCATATACAGATGAGACAGTCTCGGTTGCACCTATCGTAAATCAGCCTACCATGCAAACAATCGTTCTAAAAATTTCATCAGACCAGCAATATTTGTGTTAGTCACTCACAACGAAATGAGCTCCCGATGCGTCAATGAATACGATGCTGCTACAGCAACATTCAGGGGTTGTATTCTAAGCTCTCGGAAGTGCACCATCGACATGAAACAACAACTTGGGACCTCATAGCAATTACTGAAACTTGGCTTTCAAACGACATACTTGATCCAGGGACTGCACTCAGTGGGATGTCGGTCATTCGAAATGATCGTCCCTCTCGCGGTGGCTGTGTTGCCCACTACCAAGTAGATTATTTGAAAAGTGAGGCGTTTACGGAAAAGTTTCTTGTTATTCCCGACGCACTATTTTGTTGACTGCGCTTAGCAGGTCGAGATGTTTGTTCACAGAAGATGCGTGATGCTTGGCTATTAGCAGTTATCTATAGGCCGCCGAACTCATTAGCAAACAACGACAACATTCTGTTAAACGCCCCCGGCTATGCTGTTTCACAAAAGTACTCTCACTATCTTATAATGGGTGACTTTAATGTTCATTCAATAGCATCAATGATCCCCAGTGCCTCATCACTTAAATCGAAGCTCCTTGAATTCTTGGATATGTCAGTTTTGTACAACCATGTGCATCGACCAATCGGACGCCACAGTTCAAACAAGCCATCACTCCTGGACTTAATTCTGACTAACGAAGAGATGATGGTTGAGTCAGTAGCATACGATTCTCCACTGGGCCGTAGCGACCATTCAGTCCTAACATTTGGTTATGTGTGTTATGCCGGTATTGTTGATAAAGAGTGACTCAACGAACTAGTACGGACTAGTTTAGCTGCACAACTTAGCAGCAACCGTTGACTGGGACATACAGACGCACAGTTCATCGAATGGCACGTCGAATGAACTGAAGGATAAAATTAACTGGGTCACACAATCAGAATCGAAGGTTGTACCATTACGAGCATCTTGCCGGACCAATACGTGGATCCGAGGCAGAACACGTAAATGGATCAACAGAAGAGATGAGATTTGGAGGCAACATTCGCTAAGTCCATGTGATATCACGTGGCAGAATTACGAAGCGATCAGAAACTACTGCATGTCGCTCATTAGAGTCGACAAGTAAGAATGGCAGGAGACCATGGTGCTGAAATTTACGAGTAACACCAAACTACCATACAGCTGTGTGAATGGCAAAAATAAGATTCAACCTGGAATACTACCATCAAGACGGCCAGTGGCTTCACGACTACTGCTGTGGATGCCGCGAGCGGTCTACTCCTGCAGTTTGGCTCGGTAGCTACAAATACCATGGAACCTTCACCCTATCAACTCCCAATAAATGTTATTGACTTATCCAGCGTCACCTTTAATCCAGCAGCTGTTGCAAGCAAATAACAGTATATCAGGGAGTACAGTGCCCCTGGAATCGACGTGATCTGATCAAAAGTACTGAATACCTTAGCTCCTACCATAGCAGCACCACTTGCAACCTTTTTCCAGTGTCTGCTTAACTTTCGCACACTCCCATCTGAGTGGAATAATGGAATTATCACTCCAATATATAGAGGAGGAAAGTGATCGGATCCGGCCAACTACGACCTATTACTCTCCTTCATGTTTGTCAAAAGTAATGAAATTGGTAACCTCAGATGAACTGACGTGATATTTCGAAAATTTACAAATACTATCTAATGCCCTAACAAGGTTTCAGATGCAGACGATCTTGTCTCACCAATTTACTGCTTACTCGGGACTCATGGATCGGGGCGACTGATGAAGGAGTCCCCATGGATGTGATTTACTTGGATTTTTCTGAAGCATTCAACAGAGTCAATCACTTTTTTCTTTTCCACAAGCTTGCTGCTTACGTTATCAACAGTTCCATGCTCACCTGGTTAGAAGACTGCTTACACGACAGAGTAATCAAGGTAAGAGTATCCGACACTCCGTCTGCAAGCCTGTGAGTCTCCAGTGATTTACCTCAAGGATTCTTCCTCCGCTACTGTTTTTACTCTACATTAATAACCTTCCAACAGACATTCTATCTCCATTGCAAATATCTGCAGACGATACTAACATATGGAGAGCAAATCGTTCAGCATCCGATCGTGTCCACCTCCAGGAAGATCTGACTCGGATTAATGAATGGGTAGAAAGGAGTCAGCTCCCACTGAACCCTGCAAAGTGCCAACTGCTGACGGTGCGCAGCAGTATCGTCAACACATACCTTTTGGGGAAACAAGTAACTAGAGAGCGCGACTTAAGTATAATCGTGCAAGAGAGTTTTGGCATTTTGCTCCAATGTTCGAAAGCAGCAAGTGTGGCAAGCTTGAACTTGAGACTTTTGATATGAGCTCTTGGCACCGTTGAGCGACGGCTAGTACCAATGCTGAATAAATCCCATATTCGTCCTCACGTTGAATATTCAATTCGGGCCTGGTGTCCATGGTTCAAAGGAGACATTCATCTATTGGAACAGCCCCTAAGAAGCGCCACAAAGGCAACGCGTGGACTATCCCGTGTACGTTACCAACTGCGTCTTCGTGTACTCAGTGTGTTCTTATCAGAATACCGACGGCTTCGTGGAGATCTTACTCTGACATACCGGATACCAGATACTAACGGGCCCCAGCTCCTTACAAACAAATCTGAGGCAACCACCTGAAACTAATGATGCAACACTCCCGTCTGAGTTGTAGAAAGTATTTTTACTCACTTAGAATCTTTTCTCACTGGAATGTATTACCAAGATATCTGGTGAACGTACCAGACATGACGACATTCGAAGGACCCTTAGACTTTCACCTTAGTAATAAACGCTACATAACAGTTTTATAAAGTGCAGTGGTTTAACCACTGATACTTCACATGCCACTTTGGGACATTTTGCTTTTAATTTTTTGTGTGTATCCATCCTGTGGGTCTTGTAAAGTTATGCATTTTATCCCAGCATACACCACCGAATTGTTGAACTATAGATGTCTTGAAGGCAAGCTAGCAATTAAATATTTCACTGTCATAATAACACATGGAAGTTCCAGTTGTGACTGGTGCATATTGCACCATGAGGATCAAGATAGCCTGAATTATTGCGGCAGTGGCTTTTGTGCACACAAGACCAGACGATTTGCTTTTATCGTTAGTGATTTCGTAATGACCAGCAACTTCCGATTCACATTGCACAACAGCACTTCAAAGGATTTCACCTGCTTGACCTGTCAGCGAATAGTCCAATGATGCCTGGTGGCGAATGTGGCGGTTAGAGTGCCTTGAACTGCACAGTACGCAGATGTCATCAAGGAAAGACAACCACATAGTCAATCGCATATGTTTCAGATGCTTCATTACTTTGCAACTAACGAGGCCAATCGGAATATCCTCATGTAACAACTTTAGTTTTACAGAAGAGTAGTTTTCGCTACCTTGTTTAAGTAGTTAAAGAGGACGTGATACTTCAAATAGACGTATGAACGACACAATTGACCGCAAGAGAGACAAAACTTCTTGACCATTCCTAGCCGCAAGGTTTGCTGACGTGTGGGGTATTATATATGTGTATAATACATATAATAATATAGTATAATAGATATATATATACGTATAGTGCAATGCTAGTGAAAGAAGCAATCGACGGATTACTTACCGGATCTTGGGTGCTGTCACAGAAGTATTCTGGCTGTTTCGAATTCTCAGAAAGAAGAACTCCTAGTGGACAATTTGTGACTCGCAGACGTAGTTTGAAACGGTACTCAACGATCCCATTCACCTGGTGCTGGTTCACATTAAACTAGAGTGAGAAGTCAACATACCCTTTTTGTGCCTTCCAATATGGATTCTAATTTACTCCAGAAAGGGTCGTTATCGTAGCGGTTGCATTCTCGGACTGCTATATCTAAAAGTTGGCGACTATGTTCTCGCCCGAAATCTTCCTCTCTCAGAACGTGCCTGCCTGTCGAATCGATGGCCACAGTCAGGAACAGCCCGCAGAGTAGGAACAAGACGCGCATGACGTATTGTGGGACCAGACTACTTCGGCCATCCCCAGATACTGCTTTATACCTACAACAGTCAATAGCACACAGTCACGTGACACTTTACACATGTCTTGCATGTAACCTAAGGTGGGGTGCCAACACACTGCAATCATGACTACAACATTGGATGCATCAATGAAATGTTTATAGATTCAGAGGTAATCGGTAAACGAAACTACACAACATAAACCACACTGAATGTTGTTCCGTACGGGGCGAACCACTGGTCACTCTAGGTCACATCCATATAGCAACTCGGTTAAAACGAACACGTGTAGACAGAGCTTGTTTGACACCTGCAGCCCCTTTCGTACCTGATGTGACTGGTTCGGACAGCCCTACCTCTTGGGATCATAGGGTACCAGAGTTGTGCGTCGATCAACTCCAGAAGATTACACAGTGTGGAAATCATTCATATCCAGCCAATTTAACGGAACAAAATAATCAGTATGGAACCTTAATACATGTTCGCCGAAATGGTAACTGAAGTGTGTAATGACAGGTTTTAATACATCGGCTTACAACTCCGGTTGTCAAAACTAATCAATGAGAAAAACATTTAAAATATCCTAATCACAGTGTAAGATGTTTGCAGCATAAACATTATTTCGAATGAATCAAGGAAGGCAGAATCTGAGTAAAGCATTCTTTTCGGTAATTCTCATCAGATTCAAACATTACATGATGACGACAAAGTGCCAACTGTGCCGGATTGGGCTGCCTATTGATTGGAATGTTTAATTCCAACAGGAACAAATCCATAAATCATGGTGTGCTTAAGGGTGGTGATGGTGGTACAGGGGAAAATCACAGCAGAAGTTGTGGACCACGATAGATGTAAAGGACGTACAAACGGCTTTTGCACGCCCTTCACTTCTACCGTGGCCTACAACTTCTGCTGTGATTTCCCCTGTACATAATTTGCCACCCTCAAGGACCCCGTAATTTAGTGATTTGTTCCTTTTGGAATTAAACATTCTAATCAATACGCATGCCAATCCGGCACATTTAGCGCTTTGTCGTCATTATGTAATGTTTGAGTCTGATAAGAATTACTGAAAAGAATTCTTTACTCAGATTCTACCTGAATTGATGTTACTTATCAAACTATTCATCTCGGCAGACGTTCGATAGATGACCCAGACATATTTTGATTTCATCATATTCACCTCAACCATCCTACGGGACGGGGCAAACACTTGCTTTTATCCCGTGATAAATCATTGTTCATTGTTCATTCCAATAAATGGGAAGTTTTGGATTACTGCAGGCCAGCATTCCCCGTGCTTCATCCAAGCATTATTTCTCCCGAGTAGTTGTTCCCGGCATGCCGCTTGACCTACATGGTGTGGAAATTTGCCAATACAGCAGTACTAGAACTATGTGCTGTCATTCGTTAGGTATTGAATCGTCCGCGGATTCCCAATCCAGCAGCAACCTTCGGTCACTTAGTTCACTGGGTTATGTATGAGGTAGAAAAACTTATCGATGCGCATACGAACTTCTGAAATGAGTATTTGGTTAAATAAAAGGCCACTGCGTCCTAAAAAGTAAATCTTCTAGTGACATCAAGCTCGATAGTTCAGATGCGGTTTATCGAGTAGAAACCGGGTGAATTTAAGTAGTATATTTGTGTAAGGTAGGACATGATAATCCACCCCCAGACCGTCGGTAGGACCAATTGAGTCAGAACACTCGGTGACGTCAGGTGTCGTCATAAGAAAATAACCCACCAATGTCTGTGAGTGCAGACAAAGTAACTTGATATTTTAGGGGTTATGAAGCACTGCTTTTCAGGCTCTGCTGTGTGATCTGGCGGGTAATCAAAGAAGTTAACGGAAAAGTGCAATTACTACTTTTACGGTCAAAAGGATAGACGTGTTGTTTGAAATGCACTAACCCTGCGCTCCGCGCATTTTCGCGTATCCAATAGACGACAACTAATAAACCCAAGGTATATACCGGGAATAGGACGGAGAGAAAGTGCAAAGTAGTAAAATGCAGTTGGCTGGGTGCATCCCCAAAGCAACTTATAAAAATGACAGGTATAGGTGCAGAAAGGATCGATTGGGAGAGAGCGTTCCGTTTGACATACGCGAGTGGAAAAGAAATTTCTACCGCACTCCAGATGACGGTACTATTCTGTTAGTTTCAAGAGTTGAACTGTCAAATTCGTGTTATTGCTGGGTTGCACACAAGCTTTTGCTTGTGTGAAATCAAGTATGACATAACCAGGTCTTCTTGCAGTTGGGAAAGCCGTCCTCTGAATATTCCTACAAGTTTCCGTCTTTGTTCATATGGGAGATTGCATATTTTGATAAGGCAATTTAAAGCCGTACGTTGTAGTTGGTCCAGTGCAGTGAGGTCATGCTTCAGCCATGGCTGCTAGGCGTGAGTTGCGTATTCGACATGGAGGCGGACATAAGCACTGAGTATGTGTCGGAAAATAGAGGCGAAGATTAGCCTGATGGCCAGTCGCAACAGACAGACGTGTTGAGTACTAGTTAACCATGCCTTTCGGATTACCGGGAACAACCCAAGTTATCCTGAACCAGCACGCCAAGGTCGCGTTTGACGGATGATCGCTGCAGTACATTTGTTCCGAGCCGGTATGAGTAACTGCTCTGATGTCGGATGGAAGGTAAGTTGCATTTACTCACCTTGAATAGTATCATATTTAGAATTGACCACCCATGTACATTGTCTAGGTCACTCTGAAGCTGATGCTGGTTAGCATCCACCTGAATCCTGAGACAAATCTTGATGTCCTCGGTAAACAGCAGAAAGTTTGAAGCGATTACCTGTGCAACGTCATTAATAAACATTAAAATCTATCATCGCACCAGTACTAAGCCTTGCAGCATGCCGCATACGACTTGTATGTGGTCAGATGGAGATCTCCCAACACTGTCCAGTACTTGCGCTGAAGAAGAAAGTTGGAGATTCAGCCTAGCAATGGGTCACCGTTGACTTACTTATGGAAATTTGGAAGGAATACCTGATGGTCTAGAGTTTATGTCTCCAACCTGGTACCGATCCGTGAATCAAATGGTACCGGACCACCCAAGGAACATTAAATTATTTTTTACACAGCGGGTACTCCAACTCCAACTTTAAATTATGTCCATTTTATTTACTGTGATGTATTTCTTTCGGGTTTGTCGAGTTTACATGGACCAGAGATTAACCGGGAGCTGTTCGACTGCGAGCGTCAGTGGCGCTTCAGTTTTGTTGGAGACAAGATGTGTATCGCTCTTCCCTCTGTTCTTCGGTACTTTTTCATGCTTAACATTGCTTGGTGTACATGTATATTGTGTTATATTTTTGCCCATTTTTCGCCCACCTTTACTATCTGAGTTTAACGATGTTTTATTTTCCAGGTTACAATTCAGTCACTTGAGCGTTTAAATTTAACCTAAAGTTATTATGATATTATTATTATTATTATTATTATACGCGTTAGCTAAAGGTGGGAAACACTCAAGATACTGTGCCGCAATACATAAAGGAGATAAAGAGAAAATGCAACAGATGCAAGCCAGCTGAGCTACCGGTAACGGATAGGAATTGTTCCAGAAAGCTACCAGCCAGCTACTATGCAGCAAAAACAAAATTTATTATGCAATGGTGTATTCGGCTAAGGAGTGAGATTGTGGTTGTGGGGGAGGCTAAAACGGATGGGATGGGACAAAGAAACTCACATCACGAACGCCACTGAGATCGACTCCTAACCATGTCAACAAGTGTATCCAGCCAAACGCGTTCATCGCATTTTGGACCCCAACCAGGGTGCCGGGACGCTCCAGTCGAGGCCAGCTTAGAAGTGAGAGAACCTACAAATTTGCAAAATTGAGCACGGAACAGACCTCGTTAGAAAGTTTGCTGGGGAAACGAGGTCAGTGAAGAAGCAGAAGAAGAGCCTACAACATCAAAGAAACATGAAACATTTACCAGACGATACCATGGATTTGTATGGAGAGTGATTCCCACAAACCAACCCCGCTCCACACAGTTTGCGGCGACCGACTCCAATGAGGCAGTGAAACTATCAATACTGCTTCGCCACGTGAACGCCAAGCATGCTGGATTAAAAGACAAGCCCATGGAGCATTCCGAAAAAATTTAAACGAGGCATGTAGGACAGAAATTTCTGAGGGCCAGCACATCAATAAAGCAGAATGCAGTTACAGCATCAAACTTGTTGGGTAACCATATTGCTAAGGTTAAAAAGCCAACCAATATCGATGCTGAATAGATTTTGCCCTTCACTTAAGACATTTGCCGTGAATTTTTAAGAGACACTGCTGCTAATAGATTGCATTTGTGCATTTGTCGGTTAACACTGTCACTAGGCGAATTGAGGGAATAGCCGAAGACATTAAGACCCAATTGTTGGAGATTTATACATCACTGTGGTAAACAATCCAGGTTGACGAATCCACAGAGATCGACAACAAGTCAATACTACTTGTTTAAGTGTAATATCTTTATCAAGATGATGTGCACGGGGATTTGTCATGTGCGCTATCAATCTCAACCAAGGCCGCAGGATCAGAACTGTTCAAGTCACTTAGTGGTTATACATCCGAAAAACTAAAATGGTCCTTTTGTGTCGGCATTTGCACAGGCGGAGCTACTGCCGTGACCGGATGACTGTCTGGTTTAATTGCTCGGGTTAAGGAGGTTGCCCTTGATAGTGAATCTGCGCACTGGATTATTCTTGGGGAAATGCTTACAAGCCGAAAACTGTCACCGGAATTTAACAGTGTATAGACTGATATCTGAATTTATAAAGCACGTCAAAGCGTACGCCATTAACTCGCGCCTGTTTGAGCGGCTTTGTGAGAGATGGACATAGAGCACAGATACCTTATCTTGTACACAGAAATAAGATGGTTATCCAGAATAAAATCGCTAACCAGAGTATTTTTATTACGAAAGCCATTACAAAGCTTTCTCTCAGAAAAGAAATCACTGCTGGCTGCACATTTCAT